TTACAAATGCGCACCCACACACACACACACACACACACACACACAAACACACAGATACACACTTCCCTTTCTTTCTTATATGCCAATATGTGCACTGAAGGACACAAACACACATACACACACAAACTAGAGCTATATAATATCACATTGTGATTATAATGATAAGCATTGATATATACAGTACTGTACAACTATCAAAGACCACCCCTTTCATTTACATAAGTTTGAATCAAAATGGCCATTAAATACAAATTACAGTGTCAGAAAACAAGTAACAACAGAACCAAATATATATATTTGAAAGATGTATATCTATCTATCTATCTATCTATATATCTATCTATATATATATACATACATGCATGCATGCATGCATGCATGCATGCATACATACATACATACATACATATACATACACACACACACACACACACACACACACACACACACACACACACACACACACACACACACACACACAGACAGACAGGGCGGCAGGGCGGCAGGGCGGCACGGTGGCGCAGTGGGTAGCGCTGTCGCCTCACAGCAAGAAGGGCCTGGGTTCGATTCCCGGCCGGGCGACCAGGGTCCTTTCTGTGTGGAGTTTGCCTGTTCTTCCCGTGTCTGCGTGGGTTTCCTCCGGGTACTCTGGTTTCCTCCCACAGTCCAAAGACATGCAGTCAGGCCAATTGGACATGTTGAATTGCCCCTAGGTGTGAATGTGTGTGTGATTGTGTATGTCTGTCTGTCTGCCCTGCGATGGACTGGCGACCTGTCCAGGGTGTATCCTGCCTTCCGCCCAATGACAGCTGGGATAGGCTCCAGCACCCCACCGTGACCCAGAAGGATAAGCGGTTTAGATGATGTATGTATGTATGTATATACACACACACACGTCTGTGGAATGACAGACCCCTATGCCTTTTATCCCCTTTTGGTGATGTCAGTACTCATCAGCACTCAAACATTTCAAGCTCTCTTTGAAGCAAAATATTTTAAATATGTACTTTTACTGTCTGAAACAAATAATTTGGGAAAAAAAAATCATTATATTAGCCAAAACCTGCTCCTCATACCTAGAAATAAAAAATAAAAGTTTGATGAACATGAAGCCAAGGGTTGCCAAATATACCCACAGTATTAATAAGTAGCTGTATTATGTTAACAAAGATTGCAGATATTTTATCTTACTTGTTAACAATTAAAAAATCGCTTTTTCAAAAGCAGGTGTGTCCCCACATTTTTGATGGAAAGAGAACCTCAGAGTGAGGTTCACATCACACATTTAAAAATGTGATTTGTTAGAATGTTCATTTGCAGAGTCTTCTGCAATAGGACCATTACATTAATGACTGAAAAACACATCTATTTATCTATGAAAAATACAGCTATTTCATACACAGTAACAAACTCTCTTCCGCTGTGGCCTGTCTTGTGAAGTGGGGCTGGTAGCGAAGCTCTTGTGGACAAACACTATAAATCCTGTCTGGAGCCAAAAAGCATGTTTCTCCATAGACCTCCATTTAAAGCCAAGTTCTTTTTTCCAAAAAATCAGTCTGTATTTCTCTTCGGTTTTATACTCATTCTTCTTCCACTGATTGTTTGCTTTAAAAAAGAAGTTCATTTTTACACTGACTCTTGGCTTTTTCATTATTACTCATGTATGAACATATTCTCATTACAAAGCTTGACAGTTACCATGATCACTGAGCTGAAAATGGTAGTCAGCCAATCTGCATTGTTAAAGCGGAATCTGGTCGATTTTCCACAATTTTTGCATAACAAAATTGTTAAGATGTAAACAAAGTAATTTAGAGCAGTTTGCTGTGAGACGCTCTGCTCTAGAGATCCTAAAGGATTGTCCTCAGTGGCAATGATGGTAACCAGACGTCTGAAGAATTTATTGCCTCTAACCGCCGCCTCACAGAAAGTTATGATATGAAGTGGTTATGAATACACTGTCTGATGCCCAAGACATTGTTTTATGGTAGTTCTGCAATATGCTTTAGGCCCCACATGTATTCAGCGTGGGCTGTTACATGCAGGGCTTTGTTAGGAAAAATAATAGATTTATAGATCTAATGTAGCTAGATAATAGCTCTATAAAACTAGGTACTAAATAAGGCTAGCTGGCTAGGCTAGGGATGCCAGTGCAATAGCTAAACACAAACAGCTGAATAGCAGTTTGTTACTATCACTCTCACAATAAGGTCCTAGATTAAACATGTTAAATAACACCAAGAGGCTTTCACTGCAATAGATAAACACCAAATGACATAACCTAGATAGCTTACTCAACACTGTAACCAGGGGATTAGGACCTCAGGGATCTTTCATAAGGATGATGTCAGGGTGGATCAGCTTACCAGAGGGGACCACCACACTAGAAGATCCAACAAAGCAAAGATGGTAGAACCCAAGACATACTTCTTAGGTTACATGCACCACTGAATAAATCCTGAGAACACTTTATTTGAACCCCATGGTCATACACAGATAAGGCCGAACAATTAATCATTTTTATATTGAAATTGCTATTTAAAGTGTGTAATTTCCAAATTGCAAGAGTTGCAATTTGAATTAAAGCCTTCACGTTTTAAGTGGGGAATTTCTTACCTAATAACACAGAGCTTGTGAGCTGCTTATAGATGAATTACACCAATCAGGCAACTAAACACCAACATGATTCACACATCACAACCACAACTAACTGGCTGTCTGGCACACTACATTCAATGATCAAGCCTGAAGCCAGAAGAAGTAGATTTGGCCAAAAAAAATCCAGGCCTGGACCTGGATAGACCAATTTCCCCAAATTTGTTTAGCCCTACACACAGATATAAACACAAAAACACTCTTCCAGCTTCTTTCTTAAGTGCAGAAGCACTCAAACACACACACACGTTAGTGTACTCCACTGCCTTTAGATGCTTCCTGAAGAGCCTTTTAAGTGTAGCCTCCTTTGACCACATGCAGTTCACTACAGAGCGCTGGGTCCTGAAGGTCACACTTCTGTGTGTGTAAGTGTGTGTGTGTGGTAGTGTAAGATCAGCAGCCCAGTCAGTGCTCCCTCTCTGCAGACTGAAAAACCAGCACAGCTCTGCTCCAACACTACTCTATTCACTCCTACTGGAAGTCCTGAGAACAGTGTGGAGCTCTGAGACTCCCTGCATGCAATTTTAACTGAACATTCACACACTCTCCAAACTGTGTCATATGCAGACATCCTAGTCTCACTGGGCCAGGCATGATCTCATAATGAGAGCATCTGGGGACAACCATTAGAATTTCTTGGCTCAATGTGGTTGGAAATGATGACTTCTTAGGGCGGAAAAAACTGAGTGCAAAATTCCTGGTTTTTCCCACTAATTATAAACATTACACATGAAGACTCAAGATGATCAGTGTGGGCTCACTGTTCATTTCCTAAAGTAAACAAAACGGACAGAACAATGCACCATTTCACATCAAAACGCTCTGGATGACTTTATTTTTGTGTACCTTACATTGGTTGCCAGTTAAATTCCGCATTGAGTACAAAATTCTTCTACTGACATATAAAGCTCTGAATGGCCTTGCTCCTCAGTACCTCAGTGACCTTATTTCCTATTATCAACCGACACGCCCACTTAGATCACAAGGTGCGGGCTCATTATTAGTACCCAGAATAAATAAAGTTACGTCAGGGGGAAGAGCCTTTTCATACAAAGCCCCCCAGCTTTGGAATAGCCTACCAGTCTGTGTTCGGGACTCAGACACAGCCTCTATCTTTAAGTCTAGGCTAAAAACTTACCTGTTTAGTCGAGCTTTTGGTTAATTTGTTTTTCTAACTATGTCCCTCTCATCCCCTCCTCCCTAAGTTTCAGAATGTTTTTGTGGCTTTTAAGCACCCAAAAAGTCATAATTCATTTTTACAAGACAATTTTCCAACCTCACTTTATCCCTCAGAATGAAAGGGCTGTTTTTGTTACTTTTTTAAGACTGATATAAATGATTTCTGTTCTGACTGGCTGCCCTGAGTAGCACCTTATTCAAAAAGCAGCCGAAGCAAAAACACTCCTTTTACAGGAGTGGGAGGGGGCAGAGTTAAACTGCTGTAGGCTGAGGAGGTGGATATATGTAAATATGTTAATTTTTTATTACATCATAAACACAACGAATTAAAAATGGGCTTTTTTGCTGTTTAGTTTGCATTTTTGGACCACATGGACTGGCAGTTGTAATGCTTCTATACTACATGGCGCATTAATCGCATGCTCTTTTTATTGTACCGTGGCAGCAGGGGAGAATCGCCACTCAGTGCTACTCAACAGCCCGGAAGCAGGGTAGGTCACCTCTTACGACACATCTCCAGTCCACAGTCTGACTCACAGGCCCCCTATCTTCCCCACAGCCTGACACAATAACACTCAAACAAGAGTAACAACTATTCACATTAACATTTCAGTCTCTTCTTACCAGGAATGCAGTGCCTCTCAAGAGTCTCTGTGTGTGGTCGCTCTGCACGGCCGCATGAGCCAGTTGCAGGACGCTACAGTATTTTCACAATGTAATTCAAATAACGCACTTTGTTCATTTTTGAGTGTAATTAAGTAGCTAACTCACCTGTTCCCTCATTTATGTTTAGCAGGCTAAGAATTCTCCATAAGAACGGAGCTATTAGCACTCAAGTACCTTTTATGTGCATCAATGAAAGAGAGAAATTGGACCAGTAGGATCTCAAGAAGGCCAGTATGTTTGCAGTAATAAATTCTATATGTATGATGACCCAGAACGACCTGAAAGCTAAACATAAACCATAGACACTCAATGTTGCTTGCACTGCAGTACAACAATAGGTGTTTACGGATATGAGATTGTTTAATGTTCACTTCATCAGAGAAACCATACTGCAGATGAAATGTGGAGATGACCATAGGCAAAAAAGCACCGGTTTGATTCTTCAGATCATTGACACTGTTTGATCGTGTTGTTTTAAGGAAGAAGAGCGTGTGCCTGACCTTCTGTGCTGAGGCCGGGGCTGGAGGTAAACTTGGCCACATCTACGATCTTCACTGCAAACTGCTGGCCAGTCTCTCGGTTGATGCATCTCCTCACCACGCTGAATGGCCCCCTGCGTCAGAAAAAGTACACATGAGTTTTAGGCCATCCAGTCATGCATGAACAAAAGTACAGATTTCAGCAACAGTACAGTTGTTTTTTTTTTAAATAAACAAAGCATGTTTAACTGTTGAAGATGTTAAACAATACTTTGTTTGCTCTCATTTTCGAAAACACACGCGCACAGTCAAACACACGCACAAGGACAGAAGTTTAGCAGGCGCATCCACCACTGGCTTTGATAATTACATATCGTCGCTCTCCAATGGAAACCATGTATCTCCATTTTTGTTGATTTTAGTTTTCTACATCATTCCAACACACCCGCTGTCCTTTACATTGTGTGAAAATTTCATGATGAATGGACCAATAGAAATGCTTTAAAATCACTTGGAACAAAATCTCTTTACATTGTGACTTACATTGAAAGGTAAGAGTGTTTTTGTCTTCTCCGGTAAAGTTAATATTTTGGAGATACTTATTTTTCATTGGACAGCAACGATATGCTTTTCAACTCCACTGCAGAAAAGAGCGTCAGGTATGAATAAAGAAAGACGTGAATGTGTTTCAGGCCACAGACGTCAGGCTATAGCCGCACGCTTTCACCACAGAAGCCACGTTGCAATTGAAATTCATAAAACAAACCAGAGAGAACCTTGGGCAGTCAGTCCAAACAACATTTCATTTATCTGGCGTCAGTGCCTCCTCTGCCTCTGTCGTCATTTAAATAATTGAGCAATTGTAGCTGTAGCCTTGGTGTGAGTGAGTAATCCGGGCCTACGGCACTACAGCTCTCTCTTTCTCTCTCTTTTTGTCCTGCTCTCTCTCTCTAGCCCACAGCAAACATACAGTCAGAGAGGCTCAGGCGTGTAACAGCGGCTCTGAATCAACCATTAATAAGTGAACAAATCACTACAATAGCTCCAGGATCTGCTAAAGGAGTAGTAAAAATAGAGCATGATGGTTAGGCAGGGGTGCTGAAAAGAGCATGTCAGAGGCAGTCTTAGCGCAGTGTGGCGGAAGAGAGGGGGCTATATTTAGGCACAGAGGAAGCAGGGCAGTGGCACTGTGACATGAGGCCAAGCGGAAACGGGATAAGACTGCTCAGTGGGCCACAGTGGCACGGCCTCTTTCTAAGAAGGAAAGTCTCACTTCAGAGAGAGAGAGAGAGAGATGATTACTGTAACATCTGGTGGACTGAGTAAAGCAGAGGGCATAGCCTTCTGACACCAGCTCAAATCACACTGACCACAACCTTTAACCTTATCACCCAGAGAAAAGAGGCTGCTGCCCATACGACAGACGCTGGCAGTTAAGAGTCTCTGCAGTGGGACAGAGGGTTCCTGGAGCATGTTTGTGTGACTGTTTCTGTACACTGTGTACGTTTTCAGGACCAGAGAAAAACCAGAGAAAACAAGAGAAAAACAAGGTTTATATTCAAACTTTAGGACCACTGAAATTCAAAATATTTCATTTGTTATGGTTAAGGAGGGGAATCATTTCTTTTTGGTTAAGGTTAAGGTTAAGTTTAGGGTAACACATACAACATTTTTGTTAAATAATGGTACTCATTTGGATCACTCCACCAAACTGGTTCAAAGAGTTGAAAACACATTTCAGACTTTTAACAGACTTGAACTTTAGACTAAAATCCTTTTGCTTTGAGTGACCCTATACCTTAGTTTGTAACTTTGTCACTACTAATAGAATCATAACACTATCAAAACTTTACCAGACAGACATCAATACAGTAAATTGTACTGCCAATTTATTGTTTTCAAAATAATAGTCAATATCTTTTAAGCTGGTTTGAAGAACACACACTTGGCTAAGGACTTCGGCACCCTCAGCCATCACATGGATTTGTTAAATTCCATCTCAAGCACACCTGATGTATTTTAATAAAGTACTGATTAGCAAATACATGCTTAATGAGTTCTATACAGTACTTACATAATGAACAATAATTAATACAAAAATGAAAGAAAATAAAGTAAAATAGCTACATACAAAATGAACTACAATATGTGTATAAATGGCATGTCCTTCATTTCTCCTGATTATTTAGGAAGTCATCAGAGATGTCTTCATGAGATATTTTCCTGCCTGTAGCACAATCAACAAAAAAACCAAAAAAAAAAAAAAACAGATATATAAATAAATAAAATGAACAAAACTTTCCTGGGTCGGTTGTGGCTCATCATTGCTAAACAGCTGCTTATACTGCTTACAGCCACAAATAACCCTGATCAATAGTGTTAATGTTAGGGGTGCGGGAAAAACTCGATTCTTAGATGCATCGCGATGCGGACGTGAACGATTCTAAATCGATTCATTCAACGTCAAAAATCGATTTTCTAAATATTTAATTTATAACGTAATGTTGACGGAACGCAAAAGGCTGAACTGGAAGTGGGAAAGTGCAGCGCCCGAACAGTCTGTGGCACTACTGGAGGAGCGAGAAATCCGACCAGCTCCCTCTGCATTAAAGCCAGGTTAGGTCAGGAGTCACAACACAAATGATAAGAAGAGCCATTTTGCCTTTCAACGAAGTCAAACCACCTTGGGAGCCACAACATTTAATGCCCAGTATGTGATAATGTCCTAGTATGGGCTAAAAATATAAACAAGAGCGCAGATTTACTTCGCTCTGCTTTAAGCTTTAGCTACAGCCGCTTTCCTCCCATCTCCGCCAGAACACTTTTCCTCAAAACTAGAAGAGCTTCTTGTAAAATGTCTCAGCGTCCGGCTGTTTTACGAGGCTGAAGTCGCTTCTCATTCGCCAGTTTCTCGTTCTAATTTTCCCGTTCCACCTTAAATTCTGCCTAAGGCGCCGAACTGCTGCACCATTTAAGGTCGAACGGGAAAATACGAAAGAGAAGCGAGTTCATTTTCGCAACTTTTTAGAGAAAGACAGTCTCTCAGCAGATTTAACCAACCGCGCTGCTTATAAATGCGAATAAGTCCTCCAAATGTTCGTCTTAATCTGTTTTTTCGTTCGCTACTGGCGAGGCCAGACCTCGGGGCTATATGACCGACCTATGATTCAGCGTCCAGTCTCGAAAATACCCCCCCACTCTCTACAACGAGACCAAAAGGGTGGCTGTAACGCGCTGCGTGGACACCCGATACCACTGGATCTTATTTCAGGGCAACAGCGCATTTTATCGCAGATGAGTGGCAGCAGCGTCTCTGAATGAGAGCCTTCTAGTTCACTTGCCACATGACTTCCATTTGATTTATTAATAAAAGATATTTTAGATAATTAAAGCAAAGTATTTGTAATGATCTGTAATGCATTTACATTATGGATCATTACAAATACTTTGCTTTAAAACTACCAAGTCCTCAGAGAGTAGGAAGATAGAAATCCTGTATAGAGAAAAAAGATGCATCGAGATGCATCGATAATCGTTTTATAATCGCATCGCAGCCCTCTGAATCGTAATCGAATCGTGAGGTGCCTAAAGATTCCCACCCCTAGTTAATGTGAATGTAGAACACCATGAGAGAACCTTGAGTGATGGGAACTGATTACCCTTAGGGAGCTGTGTATGAAGCTTCTGCTCTCTTACTAGAGTTACCACTTTCAGTGTTGCAAACAAGCATAACTACATGTACGTCACTTCTAAAAACCCTAACCACATTCTCTAAGTCTGGCCGGGAACACATCCACATGAACACTTCCCCTCTGCCCAGCCTCAATTCAGAAACAATAGTATCACCTGGACTTCACTGAGATCTTGTGTCAGCCTGGACTTCTGATGAATCACATAACCACTAAACTATGACTTAAAATGCAACAGACAAATGAACAGAGATTGGAGCACAGTTAGCCACTTCTGCAAAGTGTTGGGAACCAATTAGACTGAGTTTCACAATGGAATACTGTGGAAAGACTGAAGACTGAAACTGAAAGAAACCTCTACCTACATGTGTGTCATATTAATTAAACCCATGACATTTCAGTTAATGTTCTGTTCATAAGATACAGGACGCTTCTATCTGATGTCTTGATAAAGTTTAAGGTATATATAGCCTCATGTCATGAATGAAGATGAAATGGAGTGGTATTTGCTTAACCTGAGCAGTGTGGAGAACTGTGCTGGGGAAGGACTGCTGTCTAATGACTCTATCAGGAATGTTTGCTGATAGCTGATTGAGTTTACTGTAACCCACAGAGAGCAGGTGGAGAGATATTGAGGTTATTAATGCACAGGGAGGCCCCCTGAAGCCTGGTTCTGCGCAGGATGATAATAAAAACCTGATTACTGAAAACAGCGACATAAAAAACATCTCATCTAAAATAGCAGTGACGGTGACTCAGTTGAATCAGTTATGGATATTTAGAATCGATTATAACAAATTTTACAAAAAAAATGTGCATTTATTTTTCAGCCAAAATTCAATTCCTGTAAATAGTCATGTTGATGTATTTAGTGTATTTTTCAAAAGGAATTTTGAATCATATCAAAATAATAGAAATAGTGATGTGCCGAAATGAAAATTCTTGCCTGAAATTCAGGATACAGCTTAAAACTAAATCTGTCCTATGCTTCTGAATTAAATGTCAAAAAAAGAAACTACAAAGTATTGAGGAAAAAAACATTTCTATTATTGATAAGGTCAGTCTTTTCAATGGGACATACCTGAGTTGACAATCAATAAAAACAGCTTACATCAAATAAATTATTACAGTATGTACAGTATGAACCTATCAAATCAAAGATCCTTAACAACTGTGAACTGCTGATTATCGAAGGCGCTGAATTCAACCATTTCTAATTTATACTTCGGTTCTGTAATTTGTGATTTTTTTATTTCCGAAACTGTGGCTGCAGACAGATTTGAAAGCCTAGTTAATGTTTGTTATTGTTTTCTTTTCTGTCAAAAGATTTGGCTTTATTTCTGTTTCAGGAGAAAACTAAAAGCTCAATTTTTGACAGTTCTTGACTGAAAAGTTTCAGTGCCCCCCTAAACAGAATCCAAAATTTGAGACGATGCAGTGAATGA